CAAAGTCTTTATCAATTCTATCAAAGGCTAAATACATTCTCATCCCCAGCCAATATCAGACAAAATGGCCAAAGATGAGAGGAAGATGAGAGGAATTCCTAGCATGAAATGGCATACGTATTTGTTGTCCAAGTGCTAGAGGAGTCTCTAATGTGTTTTCAGATCAGGCTTAACATCATAGTCCAGAGAGGCTCCTGTCGTAGGAATCACACGCAATAGCGCAAGGTTTCAAGGAGGTCGCAGGCAAAACAAGGGGGACCGCCGGAGATAAACTCCGCGGTCCCGGTTCTCGGGAGGTTGGGAGAGGCAGCTTGAGAGGAAGCCTCCTGAAACTCCCGAGCAGCTAAAAACCTCAACAGGGAAAAGCAATGAGGAAAAGACATATGGTGGCTTAGAGAAACCAGCAAACCCCAGAGAAGCACAGAACATGACAGGGGAAAACAGAATAGATAAAGGCAAAAACAATCCCCTTAATATAATGAACAAGGAGTTTTATTGTACCTAACTTTTTTCTGATTGGTTGTTTTTTTATCTGTTAATGTGCTGCTGTGGAGTTCTAGTAAAGAGAGACTTAAGCAAATACGAAGCCTCCTGTCATGTTATAAAATTACATTTAACATGTAGAGATGACAGGTCCATTTAAATCCAGGCAAATGTAGTCATTAAATTTACCCATTTATATCTTGGGGAAAACCATTACTAATCTCTCCAGCACTGGTCCTGAACAAGGCTATGTGTGCAATAGCATATATTATACACACAAAGGTGTCATTTATTGGTACAATGAACAAAGTAATCCGGATCATCTTACTTTTAAAATGTAATCTACCCGATAAAGACATGGGAATTCTTCAGTGACTTATCTCACTTCATATCAATAAATGATTAACAACTTTAATTTTATTTTACCTTCCAATGACAAAGCAAAAACATTATTGAGTTAGATAAATATTCTTCAGAAAAGCTGATTATCAAAACATGAAATAAGCTCAGGAGGCATAAAAATAAGCTAATAAGACTCACAAAAGAATAGAGAACTCGGGAAGAAGAAAATACTGAGCAAGGGACAAAAGAAGCCAAATGAAAAAAGAGGAAGGCAGCAATAACAAAGATAATTAAGAAGATAGAATCCAAATAGCATAATCTTGTAATAAAAGTAAAAAGTAAAGATAGTACAGAAAGGGAAATGTTATTAAAAAATAAATAAACAATACAATATTGCGCGTTTATCCATGCGCCAAGTTTGTCCAAGTGCCAGAGATGCTGTCTGTATGAGAAGAAATAATGGCACATATTACATTGTGATCCCTGTAGAATGTCACAGACAAACTAACCTCTATCTTAGAATAGCTACATATGTCCTAAACTTGGAGTTATCCAGTTCACTCGATTCACAATCGATGGAGGTCAACTGATGAGAGTTAGAAAAAACTTGCGAAAATAGCTGAGGTGGGGAATAGTTTCACTTCGACAGATTCATTTTCCACAACAGGGGTTTTATTCAATGAATACAAATCTGATCAGCAAGCAATAGTCATCTTAAATTTTGCCAGTCAGTTCTCAACTCTCTGTAATTCAATTAGAGTTATTTCCCTACGTTAGAATTCAAAGTCAATTCAACATTAATTTCAAATTTAAAGGGTTTCTCCAAAAATTTTAAAACACCGATTTTGGATAGATTACTCTGCTGTTCCGACCCTTGTCAAAGTTAAAAGCGAAACAAAGCAAAAACGTACATCTGTTCCGACGCTGAGGTCAAATTGTCTTTTTAATACACAATACAAATAAGTGTGTATGGCGCTTCAAATAATAAAGGAATAAATGTGCAGTGATTACAACCAATAATAAAGTGTTTCCCCATACTCCATTTGCAGAGTCCAGGTACCATGACCACTTTAAATCCCCGAAGGCTAAAGTAGCAGACCTGATAGCGTATCTCCCAGAATTTTCCAAGGTTGGCTATTTTGACTTTAAATTCAGGATATGCTTTGAATTCTCTCTTCAGTAAATAAACCCTAACGTGTTGCAAAGGGCTTGGAATTCAGTCTATACATGCTGTTTTGTGAATAAGTCCCCAAATGATTGTATCATGCAGTGGTTTTATCATTAAATTATCAAGGAAGTTTTTAGAACAAAATAGCCGTGCTGATAAAAATTTCCCTTCAAGCTATTTTTGAAACTTTATTTTTCCATTTAATGTCTGCAGTTCCCTTGACAACTTTTTACAGTGACCCATTTAGTGAATAAATACATTTAAAAAAAAACAAATGCGCACTTTTCTTTTTTTCATATCAGGTTTGCTTTATTTATTCAATATTTCTTTGGTTTACATTTATTTTATTAAGTATTTGCATTGCAAATTCTACTGGAGCTTTGCACTCAAAACACCATTTGTGACTTTCTGAATTAACATGCCATTATATATGGTTTTCCTGCTCAGCTGTACATATTGTGTATTCCGACATCTGCGTTAATGTATCACCACAAAGGAAAGAGGCAAAAGATTTACGAATAATTCGTCACAACTTTCAGTGTCAACGTACCTTCAAATATCATCATAATGCACTGTGGACTAAATAAAAATTAAATGATATTATAATATAAGCACAGTATTTATGTTATGGATTATTAATCATATTTTAGTATGAACATCTGAATTCAATGTCCTTCAATGAAAAAAATTATTTCTTAGAATTTTAAAAATATTTGATGGCAGACAAGAACTAATCCAAAGTTATTCACTACAGTGAGATTAGACAGGAATTCAGTGTAAAATAAATTCAAAGACAAATTTTAAGGCCAAACTTTGAATTCCTAGCAATACTTTAGTGAACAATGCTGATATATTCACCTGGCTCATTGTCCTATTTATCACAAACCTCAAATCATTTTTTTAGAAAAAATCTGTATTAGTCAGATCAGAGTTACACAGACAAGCATGACATGTGACTATGATAAACATCAAAACAAACTTTACACTTATAGAATAAATCTTCAATCTTGCCGTGATTCTACAATTTCTTTGATGGCTTTGCAACTTTATTGTCAAATAAACATGCTAACTCCAGGTAAGTATATAGAAAAAAATTATTTCCCACAGCCCCTTTGTGTGCCTCTTTCTTTCCCCCAGCCATACAGAGACATACAGACACAGTAAGGGTCTGTAGTGGGGGATAAGAGCTGCACGTGGGGGGGACAGGGGCTGTAGAGGGGGCCATGGGGGCTGTAGTGAGGGGCACGTGGGCTGTAGAGAAGGGGATGGGGGCTGCAGATGGGACACAAGGCTGCAGAGTGGGACACAGGGCTGCAGAAGGTGATACAGAGTCTGTATGGGGGGGGCAGGGGCTGTGGTGGGGCAGGGGCTGTAGAATGGGGAGGGGCTGTAGAGAGAGGGCAGGGGCTGTAGAGGGGGAACAGGTGCTGTAGTGTGGGAGGGGATATAGAGGAGGTTACAGGGGATGCAGAGGGGGGGACAGGGGAGAGAGGGGGCACAGGAGCTCAGTCAACCTTATCCCTGGGGGTCAGAGGCTAAGAGGGGGACAGAGGCTCTAAATGGGTGGACATGGCCTGTAGAAGTGGGGCACAGGGGCTGTAGAGGAGGACACAGGGCTGCAAAGGGGGACACAGGGACTGCAGAGGGGATCAGGGGGTGTGGTGGACACAGAGGGAATGTAGAGGAGGGCATGAGACTGTAGAGGGGGTACAGGGGCTGTAAAGGGTGCAGGTGCTCTGGTGGGTGCACAGAGGCTCTAGATGGGGGGACAGGGGCTGCAGAGAAGGGCACAGGGGCCACCTTATCCCTGGTAATCGGGGAATGTAGAGTGGGACACAGTGGCTGTAGAAAGGGGCAGAAGCTGTGGTGGTGGCACAGGGGGCTATATAAGTGGGACAGGGGCTGTAGAAGAGGGGGCAAGGACTCTGGAGCCTGCAGCCAGCACACAACAGACAGAGAAGTCGGCTGGCTCCTTCTGATGATATCAGGAGAAAGACGTGACTTTACATCTCTTCTCCAAAACTTCCATGCGATCCTCTGGGGAGTCTGGGAGACGAGTAGTGGAAGTCATGCCCCTCCTCCTGCCATCATCAGGAGGGGCTCGCTGACTTCCCTGGCTGCTGTGTGCTGGCTGCAGGCAGACAGGTGATGTGAGAAATTAGAGTCCCCACCAGAGGCAGGGGATTCAGATTTTTGCGCCCCCCCCCCCCCGCTCTGGTGCTGTCTGTGCTGCCTAATGGATGCGTGGGCCCTGTGTGTATGCTACACTAGTTTCATCACAGGGCCTCTTGTGGCTCTACAAAAATGTCTTAGATGTCCACCACTGGTTCGAGGCTTGACCTCACAGCAAGATCCCCTTCATTCTAAGGTCCCTATACTGGCAATTAGGTTGTGTTGTAGGAGATATCTGCCAGTGCAGATTAAAGACCAATGTTTAATACTTCACTTGTAGAGAAGTCTATAAAAGTTGCAAAGTACAGTCAAGAATTTCTGATGCCCAATTATATGATTTAGCACAGAGGTGACATAGAGAAGGCTGTTTGGAATTTTAAAACTAACAAGCGGGGGGGGGGGCTTCTCATTATGGCGGCTGGATGCACATCGTGTGAGCTCCAAGCCAGATCTTCACATTTAGTGAGATAATTGATTCCCAGCTCTAGGAGCCGACCAGAGTGCCTCATATCATTTTAATTGATCGTGTTGAGTGCATTTATCAAAGGCTTCTGTGAGGCCTATGCCGGACGGGTGAGGCGGCCGCTCCCCAATTTAATGTGAAACAGTGCTCCTGCAGGATCACCTTTTAGCCCCGTTTCCCCCCCCCCTGGACTGGTGGGGGTTGCCCCGGTCCCCACTGGACACTAATACACACCAGCGTGATTCATTGGTACAATACCTTTCCCGACTCGGGAGGTAGTTCGCTCCAACAAGATACGCTCTCTGCTCATAGTACCGAGCACCTGCAGCCGGGAAGGGAGTGTCCTGACACTGTTGAGTACTTCTTAAAGCAACTGGATGCACATTTTACCCATTTCTGGGCTTCACTAGCTGCATATCAAGCCCAAGTGGCGCATATGCCGCAAACAAACAGCTGGAGCAGCGGGGGACAGGTGGCGGCTGGGCCCACCTCGGGCCTTCCTCCTAACAAAATGCAAGTACATTCTGCTGTCTGCCCACCTAGACCTGGGGCCGCAGGTGGAAAAACCCTTCTGCGTCAACCATCACAGGCTTCTGTCTCACCCCATCGGAGAAGGACTGGGACTCTGTGAGCCTGCAAGCCCATGGTTTGAAGACGCCATCCAGAAAACCAATCTGGGACTTGAGAGGTGCACCGCATCATGCCCAAACTACTACTGCTACTCCCAACACTCCTAGGAAGTGCAACACATGTATTCGTGACCAACGCATTGGCTAAACTGACGTTTGCAATTGAGGACTGACCTTTGGATTAAATGCTTACCTTGTACCTTGCTGATACCTCAGAGATTTTTATAATTCGTGTCCCATTTACTTGCATTTCTATTCTCCTTGCCTTATATCATTTTGTTCTCTTTGTCTTAATGAGGTTATGTGCCAATGTAGATGTGGCGAAACCGGCCTCGCCACGTGTCCTTGGAGGGGGCTGCTTGCCCGCCTCTTGCCTTTGGACTATGGACCAGACTTTATGTGAAGGTATTAACCCATATAGCTATGCCATGGAGCCCATTCGTGTAGTTAAAGACTTCGGCTCCATGGCAATTGAACTGTGTGAATAGGATCTGAGCGCTATTTGGTAGTTTTGTGCGCTCAGATCCCAGCTATCTGGGGATATGTGACATGTCTGTGTTTTATGTATAAAAGGTGACTTTATGTATTTTAAAGTGTTTTTGTCTTTTTGCAACCATGTGCTTAATGGAGTCTTGTGTCTGTCCTGGGAGATAATTTAATTACTCTAAATTCAATCTCCAGGATAGAAGACTCTGAAACTGGTTTGGGCCGGAAAGCCATGCTTCATTTAGTCACAAAGGACTTTCCCTTAACTTTTGAACCCCTGGTCTGATTCGTGCCATTTTTTAATATGTTGTTCCCCTGAATGGATTGATTATGAAAATGTATGTTTTATGTTTGTGACATTTATATTTTAGAAGTTATAAATATTGTGTAAAAACTGTATTCCTCTGCCGGTGATAATGAGATTACCCATTGTGTTCAGTAATCATATCACCTGCAGAGGGGAGGATTTTGTGTGGGAGTGTCTGGGTGTATTGTACGGATTGATTGGTTGTTTTGTAACGCCCTGTGGGCTGTACTATGTTTGTGGATTGGGAATAAAAGAGACTGTATGTGACAGTACAGGAAGTTCCTGTTTTAACCCTCAAAGTGAAGTGTCGTCTCATTATTGGGGGAAGGATTTATTGTATGGTGTTCCAGTTTGACTGCTAGGAAAGTAAACCTATTCGTATGGTTCCTATTCAACTGTCTACAGCATTCATATGCTTGGGAGAATTTATTTGGTTCTCCGGTTCGGTGATTGTGGTGTCTGCCAGAGTGCTTGGAGTCCTCAGGAAGCGCTAGGAGCATCCTTCAACGGAGGTACCCAGTCGGGGTGCCAGGCGATCCGTTACATTGGTGGCAAGCGGTGGGATGGCGTCCTAGTGCGAGGTAAAGCAGCTCAGAGACACAGTTCGTTTGGATTTACAAATTGAAGGCGACGCTAGTGTTTATACAGCGTCCCTGTCTACATAAAGATTTGGGAAAATGGGGTTTGTGGATCCTTGGGCAACACGCACACCTGAGGAAGAGAGTGAATTGGAATGGAGAGATATTGCCCGGCAAGAACTATGGTACGATGCCCTGGAGGAAGTCCAGTATCAACGGCAGCAGCGCCTTCCTGGTGTCACATACCAGTTGGAGGAACAAATGGCCTGGCGGATGCCGCTTCTGGGAGACCAACCCGGAGGGCAGCAGGTCAGACAACTTGAGTACCTCGTGGAAAGGGAACTGAGCCTTGAGGCCTCATACCGGGCACTGTGGTGGTGCACTGTCCAGCCAGAGACGTGGAGGGCAGAGGGCATCCAGCCAGAGGGGGAGAACTACACTAGCCCTGGCCTGTTGTGGAAGGCCTTAGCAGAAGACGTCGACTTTGGCAGTCCAGCAGAGTCACGGTACTGGGCTATCTTTTATTACTGGGGTGAGATGGTACAGGGCCCGAGATCTATGGGACTGGGACAAGACCTCCACCGTTTGGCTGCTATGGAACGAGAGCTAGAGATGGACTATGTGGAACTACTGAACTCATGTCAGCCGCAGAGCATAGGCGCAGAACAGGAAAACTGGGTGGCGGACCCAGACCTGCCAACCTACAGCTGGGAAAACGCAGCCGAGGTCCCCACTGCTTCACTACCAGTTGCAGAAGTAGGGGACCTCATAGACTGGTCCTGGGAAGACCCACCGATGGCAGGTAGAGATGGGACGGCTGTCTCTCTACCGGCCCTACAGGGATGCTGGGCAGTCAGCCCAGATCCCCAGCGGCAGTATGTATCCCAGGGAACTGAAGGTGTGGTCCTTCCTCCCCAGCGGCAGTGTGTATCCCAGGGAGCTGAAGGTGTCGTCCTTCCTCCCCAGCGGCAGTGTGTACCCCAGGGAGCAGAAGGTGCCGTCCTCCCTCCCCAGCGGCAGTGTGTATCCCAGGGAGCAGAAGGTGCCGTCCTTACTCCCCAGCGGCAGTGTGTATCCCCGGGAGCCAAAGGTGTCGTCCTTCCTCCCCAGCGGCAGTGTGTACCCCAGGGAGCTGAAGGTGCCGTCCTTCCTCCCCAGCGGCAGTGTGTACCCCAGGGAGCAGAAGGTGCCATCCTTCCTCCCCAGCGGCAGTGTGTACCCCAGGAAGCAGAGACCGTCTGTCTCGCACCCCAGCCGCAGGACAAAATATTGAAAGGGGAGACAGTTGGTCCCCCTCTCCACCAGCAAAGAGAGTGTCAGAGGAGCAGGAGCAGTCTACAGTTCAGAGAGAGGAGCTTGTTACACCCTCTCTCCAGCGGCAGCCTAACCCACCAAGGGGAGATGTTAAGCCCCACAACTATCCAGATGGGACACTTGCAGCACCAGGGGTAGGGACGGTCGGTCCTGTCCCCCAGCCACAGAGCAGTGTATCCAGAAGGGAGACAGTCGGTCTCCCCCTCCCACAACCAGGCTCCAACCAGGCTACTTCAGTGGTAGCGCTGGCACCCGGGCAGAGTACCGCTGGTCTCTGCCCACTCAGCAACCCACCAAGGCAGTCTACCAGACCCCCGCACAGCCGTGGTGAGGCACCTGGACATGGACAAGTTGCTATTTTATCCAGGTGTAGTAACCAGTTATTGTGGGTGGGCTGCATTGCTGTTTGTGCTTCGTGGGTTGGTTGCTGGACTAACCAGGGCACTGACCGGCAGGAGGTCAGATACCCTGTTAGTCTGGATGGTAAAGGGGAGAAATGTGGCGAAACCGGCCTCGCCACGTGTCCTTGGAGGGGGCTGCTTGCCCGCCTCTTGCCTTTGGACTATGGACCAGACTTTATGTGAAGGTATTAACCCATATAGCTATGCCATGGAGCCCATTCGTGTAGTTAAAGACTTCGGCTCCATGGCAATTGAACTGTGTGAATAGGATCTGAGCGCTATTTGGTAGTTTTGTGCGCTCAGATCCCAGCTATCTGGGGATATGTGACATGTCTGTGTTTTATGTATAAAAGGTGACTTTATGTATTTTAAAGTGTTTTTTGTCTTTTTGCAACCATGTGCTTAATGGAGTCTTGTGTCTGTCCTGGGAGATAATTTAATTACTCTAAATTCAATCTCCAGGATAGAAGACTCTGAAACTGGTTTGGGCCGGAAAGCCATGCTTCATTTAGTCACAAAGGACTTTCCCTTAACTTTTGAACCCCTGGTCTGATTCGTGCCATTTTTTAATATGTTGTTCCCCTGAATTGATTGATTATGAAAATGTATGTTTTATGTTTGTGACATTTATATTTTAGAAGTTATAAATATTGTGTAAAAACTGTATTCCTCTGCCGGTGATAATGAGATTACCCATTGTGTTCAGTAATCATATCACCTGCAGAGGGGAGGATTTTGTGTGGGAGTGTCTGGGTGTATTGTACGGATTGATTGGTTGTTTTGTAATGCCCTGTACTATGTTTGTGGATTGGGAATAAAAGAGACTGTATGTGACAGTACAGGAAGTTCCTGTTTTAACCCTCAAAGTGAAGTGTCGTTTCATTATTGGGGGAAGGATTTATTGTATGGTGTTCCAGTTTGACTGCTAGGAAAGTAAACCTATTCGTATGGTTCCTATTCAACTGTCTACAGCATTCATATGCTTGGGAGAATTTATTTGGTTCTCCGGTTCGGTGATTGTGGTGTCTGCCAGAGTGCTTGGAGTCCTCAGGAAGCGCTAGGGGCATCCTTCAACGGAGGTACCCAGTCGGGGTGCCAGGCGATCCGTTACAGTAGAGAATTGTGACCCAATGGTTCCCTGCATTTTACTCATAACTATATGCTACTCTTGTTTAAGCTATCATTCATCTACCATACCTTAACATGCATATACATCCTGGATACTCACCTTGGCTAATTACTCCCATGCTGTCAGATGGAGTAGTTAGAGCTCAGCCTGTTATTTCATTATTGTTTACTGACATATGTTTATTGTATCCTCTCTTCATTACATACCTAAAAATTGTGCTGACATCTCCATTGCCACATAGTTCAGGATCTAATATATGTTTTATCGATCTTGCTTCTGCTTTTGGGGCTAAGAAAGCTTGTTTGTTTGTTACCTGCGCACAACAAAAATAAAGAATATTAACCCCTTCAGGACTGGACTGTTTTGGTCATGTTGTACGTTAAGGACCATAGCTGTTTTAACACTTTTGTGGTGTTTGTGTTTAGCTGTAATTTTCCTCTCTCTCATTTGCGGTTCCCATACAGATTATATATTGCTTTCTTTACATACCATTATTTGTATTATGTCATATAATTTACCTTTAAAAAAATAATAAAATATGGTGAAAAATTGAAAAAAACATTTTTTTTACTTTTACTTGAAAAATATTTTACTTACCTACGAAAGCTAATGAAAAAAAACTGCTAAATAGCTTCAAAATTTTGTCCTGAGTATAAAAACACCCAGGGTTTACATGCTTTTTTTGTTTTGTTTTTTGCAAGTTATGTAAGAACAAAATTATTCTTTCAAAATATATATTTTTAAAATGTATCAATAGTGACATTGTAACACTGTGCTCTCTCATAAATCTCTGAATCACACCTCACATGTACATATGTTTTTAAAGTAGACAACCCAGGGCAGGGCCGCCATCAGGGGTGACAACCATGATGGTTGTCACGGGCCTGGCGGTCCTGGGGGTCCCGGACCGCTCTGGCAGTCCCTGGCCCCACTTTCTTTCTCTGCACACATAGATAGCGAATATCGCTATCTATGTGTGCAGCCGCAGGCCCCCGGCTCCCAGTTACCGCAGAGGGGGCCCAGCACACAGCTTCTACTCTCTTCTAATAACTCTCGCGAGACCTGGTTACCATGGCAACGCTCTGCGGGCCTTGCGAGAGTTATTAGAAGAGAGGAGAAGAGGCAGTGTGCTGGGCCCCCTCTGCAGTTACAGGGAGCTGGGGGGCTCCCCATGCCACCGGACCAGCAGGGATCATGGAATCTCCCCCCTCCCTGGACACAGGTAAGCAGGGAGGGGGGAGAAACATTTAATTAAATGTAATATAAAATTTAAAAAATTTATGGGAAAATGCCCATCCCCCCTAGTTTGCACATTTACACACACACTGCATACACTAACACAACACACACTCTGCATACACTAACACAACACGCACTCTGCATACACTAACACAACACACACACTGCATACATTACACATTAACACATTCTGCATTCACTACACTAACACACACTACATTCATTACACTGACACACTCTGCATTTACTACACACTAACACACACTCTGCATTCACTAAACTATGCACACACTCTGGATTCACTATACTGACACACACTCTGCATTCACTACACTAACATACACTCTGCATTAACTGTACACACATCATCCACTACACAAACATCCTGTATTCACAGTACATACACTGCATCCACCACAAATTGAAACACTCTGCATTCACTATACACAGACACTGCGTCTAATACACACACTACATCCACTACAGACACTGCATCCACTAAACACATTTCATCTAGTACATACAAACACTACATCCACTACACAAACACACACTACATCACTGTACACACACTACATCCACTACTCAAACACACTCTGCCTTCACTATACACACTGCATCCGCTACACAAACACACACTCTGCATTCACTGCACAAACAGTATCTAATACACACAAACACTACATACATTACACACATTCTAATTCACTTCCACTATACACACCACATTCAGTCCTGCATCATTGTCAGCGGACTAGGTAGGGCGTGGGCGGGCCCGGGAGGGGGGCCCAGACCCTGTGCTTTGTCAGAGGCCCCAAAATTTCTGATGGGGGCCCTGACCCAGGGTATTCATTATGGGCCATGTCCAATCTTTAGTAGCCACTTGCCAAAGTTAACATTTATATTTGTGTGTGAAGATTGCAAAAAACGAAATTGAACGCTAATTTATATTTGTTTGTGACTAAGTGGCATCTAAAAAAGACTGAACATACCCCACTTGCAAATGGTATGCCATCATGGGGGTAATTCTCATTCCTGGGCTCTCAAAGGCAACGTAACCAACCTGGCAATTTTTCAATGTAAAAATATATGACCCTGTAACTTCCAAAAACACTATAAAACCTGTACATGGGGGTACTGTTATACTCAAGAGACTTTGCTGAATACAAATATTAGTGTTTTAAAACAGTAAAACATATCACAACAATTATATCTTCAGTGAAAGTGCTGTTTGTGTGTGAAAAATGCAAAGAAATCACTTTCACTGACAATATTATTGCTGTGATATGTTTTACTGTTTTGAAACACTAATATATGTGTTCAGCGAAGTCTCCCGAGTAAAACAGTACCTACAGGTTTTAGGGTGTCATAGAAAGTTACAGGGTTAAATACAGTACTAGCAAATTAAATTCTCTGGACTTTTGGCCTGGGTTGTCAGGCAGGTCCCTCAAATTGCAATCAATAAAATTACTTAATTATGTAAAAATATTACATAAATATACACGTAGAATTTAAATATATATGCATGTTTATATATTTGAAGTCTACGTGTATATTTATGAAATTATTTATGTAATTTTGTATATGATATATATATATATATATATATATTCTGTAATCTTGTGATTTATTTAAATATACATAGATGTATATATAATTTCATTCTAAGTGTATTTTGATATATATATATATATATTAATATCAAAATACAGTTAGAATAAAATTTGATATATATAATTTAAAAATATATATTTTAACGTTTTTTAATTTAATTTACTTATTATTTCTATTTTATAATACTGTATATATACAATATATATATAGTTATTATATATATTATATATATACGTGTGTAATTTAATTATAAATGTATTTTATATTAATATACGTATATATTAATATAAAAATAGACTTAGTATGACATTATATATATGATATATAGACATATCACATACAAATATAATATATATCTATATATTATATATATCATATATATATATATATATATATATATATATATACACACATATTTAATTATATTTTTTATTAACATTTTTTTATTTGATTTTACAGCAGCAGGGAGATTGCCTGTCAGCACAGACAGTCCCCCTGCAGGCAGAAACATGGACACCTATTGTGGCCATGTGACCGCTCTGTTGAGCGATCACATGGCCCCGGGGTCCTAATTTGCCGCGGGGAGACTGTCTGGGCTGCAGGCAGTCTCCCCACACCGGGAGCAACGCCGATTGCCGCCTGGGGAACGACGGCGATCGGGTAAGTATATCTTATCGTTATGACGGTTCAGGACGTCACCGGTCCTCAAGGTTTTTTTCCGATGACGGCCCTGAACCGTCAGCGGTCGCGAAGAGGTTAAAAAAAAAAAACAAGCAGGTTCTATTAAAGGAGTAAGATTCTCAATCATATCAGGAAAGTGTGTATCAATAAAGCATCCACACGTTAAGCTAGGATGAGATAACAAGGCAGTACAAAAATAATTACAGCGGTATTTTTTATATTGCCTTTTTTCTGTCTGCCTTTCAAAATGTTAAAGAGTATAGACAAAGCAGACATTTTTTGTACCACGAAAAAGAATTTGGTTACTCTCGTGTTATCATTAAATATATTTGACTGTGATCTTTAGTCAAACAAAACACTGGAACTAACAATTAGAATGCAAATATAACAACTTGCAAGCATCTTTGTCACACAAAAAAAACACAAATCATTCTTCTTTTGAGTTAATATCAACTACTGTTGGGACCCGAAAAAGAGCCTCCTGATTTACACACAAAGTATTTCAGCGATTGATCGCTGCATGAAACAAAAAAATTGTCATGAGTTACTATCCATAAGATAAACAAGTTTTCTGATTCTAGCTTTCTAGGAATTACTGATATTTTATGTGGGTTTTTTTTTTTTGTCCTTTTTGGAATCATCAAACAAAGTAAAGAAATTATATGATGTCCCTTAAGGTAAAGATGTAATCCAGAATTTGTAGTCTTCCTTTACATGCTATGCAGCTTTTCAAAACGTGGGATCAGTGAAGTTTTAAAAAAAAAAAACCTCTCTGGATTTTGGAAAGCTCTGATATGCTCTTTTGAAGTCAAGTGAAATACATGCTTTCCTCTGTTCTTAGACTTCTGTAGAAGACAACATAAAGTATTCAATTCTGACATGAAACATGCTAAGTGCCAGTGTAGTTTTATCAATAAAAAGAGCCCAAGTGCATTGCAGAATTTTAAAATAGTATTTATCTAGATAGGATACTCAAATCTGAAGATATTTAATATGTACACAAACACTAAATATATGATAAAGTTAGTCTATTTTAGTAATTATATTATATACATATGATATATAGAAATGAATGAAGTTGTGGCTGTTGTAGTAAACAACCAATATATTAAGTTGGCGTAATATATTGTAGTTTATGAAGACAATGATAACAATTTACTAACTTAAATTCGTGTTTATTGTTAATAGGAACGATAGATCAGAATGCTGATTAGTTACATTTTTCACTGGCTAGTGGGAATAGTGACTTCAGTGTCCTTTTGTCTAAAAGGAACATTTTAAGCACTATACATGCTACAGCCTGATTATGTGAATGTTGAGGTTAGTAACGAGAGGTAGAACAGAGTACAGGAATGTTATATTACACTTGCAAGAAATAGAGTATGGGAATGTTGTATTACAGTAACGAGAAGTAGAGCAGAGTATGGGAATGTTGTATTACAGTAACGAGAAGTAGAGCAGAGTACGGGAATGTTGTATTACAGTAACGAGAAGTAGAGCAGAGTACGGGAATGTTGTATTACAGTAACGAGAAGTAGAGCAGAGTACGGGAATGTTGTATTACAGTAACGAGAAGTAGAGCAAAGTATGGGAATGTTGTACTACAGTAATGAGAAGTAGAGCAGAGTATGGGAATGTTGTATTACAGTACCGAAAAGTAGAGTAAGGTACGGCAATGTTGTATTACAGTAACGAGAAGTAGAGCAGAGTATGGGAATGTTGTATTACAGTAACGAGAAGTAGAGTTGAGTACGGGAATGTTGTATTACAGTAACAAGA